ACAATTTGACTTTGAATTGGAACAACTTGATATAAAAACCACCTTCTTGCATCGAAATTTAGATGAAAAACTTTACATGGTTCAACCAAAAGGCTTTGAACAAAAAGAAAAAGAGAACTGTGTGTGTCTTTTGCAAAAATCACTCTGTGATTTGAATTAAGTACCTAGACAATGGTATATCAGATTTGATACCTTCATAAAAGGGCTTCATTTTAATAGAAGTGAATATGATCCATATTTTTACTATAAAGGAAGTGGAGGTCCTAATTCTTATTATCTTTTGTTCTATGTTGATGACATGGTACTTGACGGGTGTGATGTAACTGAAATAAGTAATATTAACCAAAAGTTAAAACAGAAATTTGAAATGAAAAATCTAGGTATTGCTAAAACAATTTTATGAATGGAAATTAGGAGGAATAGATCTGATCAGACCCTGTTTCTTACTCAACAATCATACATTTCAGAAATATTGAATAGATTCTCTATGAATGAGGCAAAAGAAGTCACATTACCACTTGGCGGTCACTTTAAATTCTTTGTGGAACAATGTTCTAAAACTGAAATAGAAAGAAGTAGAATAAAATAAGTCCTTTATGCAAATGCAATTGGTTCAATTATGTATATAATGGTCTGCACTAGACCTGATCTTACTTTTGCTATAAGTGTCTTAAGTAGATATATGAGTAACCCAAGTGAATATCATTGGGAAGCCATCAAATGGTTGTTAAGATACTTAAAATGAACTTCAAACGTAAGGCCGATGTTCAATAAAAGTAATACTAGAATTCAACTTAAAGGCTTTGTTGATTCAGATTTTACTGGTAACTTTAATAATAGAACATCTACATCTGCATATGTTTTTACCTTAAATGATACCTGCATAAGTTGGAAATCTCAACCAAAAAATAGTTGCCCTGTCTTCAACAGAGACTAAGTATATTACAACCACGAATACTATGAAGGAAGATATTTGGTTGAAAAATCTGCTAGATGAAATTGGTTTTATTGGTAACAATGATACTGTATATTCTGATAGCCAATCTACAATACATTTTGGTAGAAATGCTGTTTTCATGATAGGACTAAATATATAGATGTTAAATTTCACTTTATAAGAGATATTATAGAAAAGAAGATTATAAAAATTGAAAAAGTTTCAACTAAATGTAATTCAGCAGACATGGGAACAAATATATTTCCTTTACATAAATTTAGGGATTGTTTAACTCTTCTAAATATCATTACTGATTAATTACTAATTAATTATTATTATTATTATTATTATTATTATTATTTATTTTTTTTTGCAAATACATAGAGGGATTGAAACCAAAAGGAGGACTTAACCTCTAATCTACATAAAACCCAAAGATGTCTAGCAAGGTGGAGATTGTTAAATGTGTGCTTAATATCTTAAGTGAATGAGGCCCAATGATGTAGCCCAATAACTTGTATACATGGTCCATTATGGCGGAATATGACCCGATTGGGCCTTGTGTGCATTCTCGCATTTACTTAGACACATTTTTGTTGATTGGAGTTAAAATGGCTGAGATGATGACACTTGGTGCTGGCTCAACCGCTGGATGCATGATGACCATTTAAATTCCCAATCTCTCATTCAATTGCCAGAGTCTCTCGAGATAATTCTAGGGTTTACTCTCTTTTCATCTTTGTAATCTATCTATCTGAAAACTCTTGATTTTTTTATTGTAATCTTTTGTTCTGGGTATTCTTGGTGATGTTTACTATAGATTACGCTATGTATGTGATTTCTTCGTTCTTTGGTGAGCAGTAACCCTTGGTTACTAAGTGTAATTTGTAAAGGAGAGAAAAGTGAGAGTTTAAGGTTGAGGGCATATAGTCGTTGATTCTTGAGTCTCTGATACTTGTATATTGACATTTTTGTTGGATTTTAGTGGATTAGAGCGATAACCACTTAAATGGATGTTGAACGTGGTGATTAACCTTTTTGAGTGAACATCCGAGCCTAGGGCGAAAAATTAGTGTTTCTCTATTTTGATTGGTTTGATTTTTAATCTGAGACTGTTAATACCAACACACAAGAAATGATTATATAATGGTTTAGGTTGAGTTGGATGAGTATTTATATATTAGATCTGATCCATAGGTCTAACTCTAGCCCAAGGCAACTTAGGCGATTGCCTAGGGTCTCAAAATTTTAAGGGCCTCAAACAAAATTAAAATCTCAAAAGACCAAAAAATAATAATAATAAATAAATAATATTCCTTTACTTTTGGAAAATTAGGTACACTATCTCCCCAAAAATAAGACATTAGATTAACGATTGTGCTACACATATATGATGATTTACATATACATATACATAATGTGGTGAAATATGATTGTGTTAAATTTCTTCAACCAAATAAAAAAAACTTTTCTCTCCTTCTTTTGGCACCTCATCTATATGTAAATTATTATATAACTTCAATATATACAAGTAGTATTATTCATATACCTAAAGTCCCCTTTATTATTATTATTTTTTTGAGTTGAGTCCTCTAGTTCTTTAAAAAGTTGCAACAAAACAATAGTGTGACTAAGTAGAACGCCCAAAACACTTGGTTTCCTACATCCTTAGTTTAAGGAATAAAATATACCTACAATTAAACTATTACCTTATATTGTGCTGGTTTGAGCCTCATGTTTGGGGTTCAATAGATTTTGAAATATTGACTCCATTTTTTTATTTCTTTGTTTTTAAGAATGCACGGTTGAAATGTAGGACAAATATTTGGATGTGTGTGTAAAATTAGTCTATTTAAAGCTTTACAGGTCACTCCCTTTCCCTCATTATAGTCTTCTTCTACATTGTTTTCTTGTTTATGCCGATTGTTTTGTTATTATCTATCCTTAACTGGGACAATTTCTTTGGCTTTGCATTTAATTTTGTCTTGATTTTCATGGTTGTTTTGATGTTTCTTGTTTATTTGATACCATAATATATCCCCTTGTTTCTTCCAAAATAAAATGAAAGAGACAAAAGAAAATTAAAATTATGTTTTAATCCCATCTTTCAAGAGCAACAATAAGCGTTGCATAGAATGAAATCAAAAATAATTTTACATTCACTTGCCACAAAAAGGTTTTGTTGGGATTTTACTTAATCGGAAAATAAAATAATTTTCAATTTTCACCACGGATCTACTTTGTATTTAAATAGAAACTTTGGCAAAAGATTTACCTTTGTTAAATTCTGCAAAATCTATTGCTTACCTTGAACACGAACAATCACGATCTATAATTCACAGTTGTCCAATTATCCAACCTCCAATAATAATTCATACAAGAAACAAGATTGAGAGAACTATGATTTTCTTTTTCTGTGCTAACAAGAATAATTATGTTCTTTACGGATTTTTCTAAACCCTGCCAACCTATTAATATAAATTCAAGTGGACTTGGCCTGTCTTTTAATTTAATTCGATTCAACATTTAATTAATGCAATTAATTAATTAATTTGAGCTTGTTAACAAGCAATTCAATCAATTAATTGTCCAACACTTATCAATTAATTAATTGGCAAATCTCAATTTTTCTAGTTCTCCTTTTGTGTGGGCCCATTAGGTTCTCGATCACGATACTTAACAATGTGAATTATTATTTTGATCTAATCAAAATTGATAAATTAAGATACTCTTTTGAACTTATCATCAATTCACATTCGTCGTCCCAAATTGACATCTAACAATATATCAGGGTAATGCATGTGACGAAAAATGTTACGTGGTATGACAAAATCAAACTCGTTCGTTTACCGTGAAATTATAATCATTTTGTCAACATGATCCGATCAATTATGAGATATGGATATGTATTGATCTCAATTATTGATCACATCTTTCATTCCATTATTAAATCAATGTAAGTAGAAAATCCATTTTCGACTTATAAATACATCTTGGTTAAGGATTTCGTTATCACTTGATATAATGAAATGTAGATCATAATCTTTTACTATTTAAGAGTAACGAATCCTCTATTGATCATTCACAACCTTCATATGATTCTTGACATTCTCGAATGATGACGTATTAGCGACCTCTTGGTAGAACAACAACCAATATCACCAAAGTATGCTTGTCTTTATATAAGGCAATATGGACACCTTAAGTCAAAGGACCAATTTCACTATCGAATGTTAGAGATTAACCACCGACACTCGAATCGTTATCCATATGGAACCTCCCAGCTTGTCTCTAATTTTTTGTTTTATAATAAAACATCCACGTGTTCATTTAAGTGTCACCACACTTTAACTTGTGGGATCAACTACTTATTTCACAAGTAATAAATACAATACGTGATGATTTATCCGAAATAACGATATCCGTATCTTGTTATTATGTACGACTGCGGATGATTTAAAATTCACTAATATGTAATTTGTATATCACAATCACAACTCCCTGTAATTAACAGATTTCCAAGACTTGAATTTACGAATTCTATTATTTAATTTACTAGAATATTAATTAAACAAGAGATCTACTCTAAAATTGTATCAATTATATATTAAAAGTGTTTATGTCTAAAGTTAATTGAACATAAGACACAACACTTACATGTTTCAAGTTAATTGAACATAAGGCATAACACTTACAGGTTTCACTATAAAGAAGAAAGAGAGCTAGATTTATTTTTATTGGGCTCCTCATGCACACCTAAATTGGCTTGAAAATTTTAAATCAAGATCTCCCACCGGAATTATGTAAACATTATGACTAGGTTCCAAAAGTCCAACATTCTCTTTGTCTAAGAAATGTTAAACTCAAAACCTAAAACTCCTTCATAGAATATCCACTCAAATAATTCAAGGTTTGGATCTTGTGTGCCGGCTATGTGTTAAGTCTCTCTCCCCGTAAAAAGAACTCTACTGTCCAACTAGCTGCAGCGATCACAACCGCCATTAGGATCTTCTTGGTGGAAAAAAAATGTGAATGAAATATCCCACCGAATTGAATTGGGTCCATGGATGATGCCAAACGCTTTTTTTATGGAGAGAGAGTTAAGGGGACTTCTGCGGGACTTATGAGATGTGTACCTGGCTGTGGGCAACGGAGGAGGTGGAAGCCAGTTTTGTCTTTCTATCTATCTTTCAAAAATTCATATTATGAATCTGAAAAATGGGTTGAGATTTTCCATAATGAAAGATGGCATAATTTTTCTAATCATAAGGCCAATATAGATTTGTTCTATTCACCTTCACCCATTATTATACCCGCAATGATTGGCCATATGACTGCTACAATGAGTCAATTTTTTTTATTCAAGACGATTCAGATTATTCTAACATTTTATTACTTTTTTTTGCACAAAAAAACTTTGAATTCTCAGTAGAAAGATATTTTCCTAAAAAAATGCTTTTAAAATAGAACTTCTCTTATTTATTGATTGCATTTTTATTTTAACAAAGAGTGTTCCTTACTTGTTACCTAATAACCCGAGAATCGTAGACAGTTTGACTAGTTGACTAGGTAAGGGAGTACTTGCTTGTTTTTGTGTCGTGCTTTACTTTGGGGTTTGATTTCCATTATACTCGATGTGGCAAAAAAGACATCGAATGAGATATGCCTTGCTTTGCATTAAGATTTAAAACTTCTCATCTACTTTCAGGAAATGTTTGAGCTGGGATCCCACTTTTGAATAAGGAGCGATTTGCCATGAATATACCAAGGGCTAGACTTTCGAATTTTGATACAATTTTTAGCTGATGTGAGTTGAAACAAAAAGAAGCTGTCTGCTGGGGTTTTTTTTTTTCGAAACTGCCAGCAACTTTCCATGCTTTCTCTAGGTGGTATTTCAAGGGTATTGTACTATGATCTTTTGCCCATTACATGGCTGATTAAGATGTTGCCTTTGTTAAGATTTGGGGGTCCATCTTAAGGTCGATCTTATTAAAAGGAGTGACCCAAGATCTATTTAAGTTGGTCAACCTTAAGATGGATCCCCAAATTTTAACATAGTATCAGAGCCCAATAAACTCCAATGAGCTATTCGATCCGATTAAATCTAAAAAATGAGCACACGAATTTCAAGATTGGTCTGTTTAAGAAGAGTCACCATCTTGCGGGGGTATGTTAAGGGAATAAATTACACATCGGTTAACTACCAAAATATTGACCAACTTAAATAGATCTTGAGCTACTCATCTTAAGAAGGTTGACTTTATTAAGATGGACCCCAAATCTTAACAGTCTTTTGCCGTTTCAACCTATTCCCAATAAAATGAAATCCATATCCCGAGCCTTGCTTATACATTTTTCTAACTACCTGAGACCTAAGTGTTGAGCTTTTTTATTCCTTTTTTTTTCCGTTGGGTTTTTGATACCTAATAAATTCAAGGCTATGATGTTAATGTGAGTAAATGTATTTCATAGGCATATGTCAATGAATGAAATAAGTCCAACAATCAAGTCCAAGAGCTCCACCCGGTCTAATTGTATTCCCTCTTAGATGGTTTGAATCTTGGCCTGTTTACCTTCTTTTTTGTCCAATTAAAAGCCTAATCCTAGACTATTTATAAGACTATAATCCTAGTTATTTCCTAGTTTCGTTTGTGTGTGAATTAAGGAAAATCTCAGCTGCCCCTTGAAGTGTGTGAAAAAGGGCCTCTTGAAGTGTCCAAAAATGCTTAATTATTTTGTGTAATATGTGTTTCCTTCATAGCCTATATTTGTGATGTTTTTTCCTTCCCTTTGTGGCTACAAATTATCACCGTTTCTTGTTCTTTGTGGGTAAGATGGAATAGCAACCCAGGTGAATTATATTGGTTGTGGATCGCAGGCGATTGGTTTGGTTATTTGGTACAGAAAGATACATTGGACTGAGCTCGAAAACCACCGATTTGAAGATCCTTGGAAAGAGCTTCCGCAACACTGTCTTTAAAGCCACCTCCCTATACTTCGAAATTTGTTTCACAATCAATTGCAAAAAAACTAGAAGAATGAAAACCATTTGGTGCTTTAAATATTTAAAAACTGAACTCAGGAAAAAAGGAAGAGTATTATACATGATTTATTTAAAAATATTTAACCCTTCATATCTTTTCTAAGAAAATCCGTAGATATACAGGTTATTAAGGGGTGCATTATTATCTTTGAGATTTTCAATGAGAAGTTCTGGATCAGCTTTACTACCTTAATCCAATGAGCTATCGAATTCTAGTGCTTGTTTGTGGTGTACTACATACAGAGAATTCTACATTAACAATAGAAAATGACGCACATAATGTAAAACTATAGCTTGAATCAAGGCATGCTGAATATATATAATTTCTACCAGTTTCACGTCAAAATTACTATTTATGTCTAATGATGTTCTTACGTAGTGAATTACGTAATATAATTTTTTTATTTCTTATTTTATAAAGAAATAGTCACCATCTAGAAGGGATCTATAGTAAATTAATTGACAACAATGTAGTGTCGTGAAAAACAAATTTTTCTATCGATGTTTTAGTATAATATAGGTGAAAATTTAAGGACGGCTGCAGCATCCGTAGATTTGAGACTGGGTGAAATATTTGGTAACGTCAATTTGATTTTTTTTGAAGTTATGGGTAAACATAATTCTTCCAAGGCTTTTGAGAATGAGGATGGAAGGAAATTAGCTAAAGAAAATAGTCCTCGTGGAAGTGAAGATTGGGTAGAATCGTGGGAAACTGATTTTGAGGGGCTGGAGAACACGTCCGAGCAAAATCTGTTACATGAGTATCATCAAGAACAACAACTGATAGAAGAGTTTGGCAGTTTACATGATTTGTATCTCGATATTGTTTCACCTCCTTTTCAATCCAGTGAGGAGGGCATTAATCAGCTTGTCGGTATCGAATCTCAAACTTCCATGCTTATCGAACCCAAGAAAGAAAGGCCGCGTGGGTTTCCTTCTGCATCCCTTTGAGATTTTAAGGAACTATGAGAGCAGGCTCAAAAGATTAAATGTACAGAGCCATGAAACAAATTGCACTAAGATCAATTTTGGGTTATCATCTGTTGATTCAATTATCAAGTTGGCTGCTGTAAAGTTTCTTCAATCCAATTCCTCTAGCAGCGATGAGCTCTCTGTGCTTAGCCATCCATATGCCAGTTCATTTTTGGGCTCCGCCAAAGAAGAAATGGACAAAGATGTTCAACTTGTTCAAGGTCTTCTATTTTGTGCTGAAAGAGTAGGTAATAAACAGTATGATTCTGCAAGGAAGCTCCTCGAAAGTTGTCACATGCTCAGCTCCATTAAAAAGAGTACCATCCAAAGAGTAGTGTATTATTTCACTGAAGCTCTTTACGAGAAGATCGATCGGGAGACTGGAAGAATTAAAGGAAATGATTTGGCGGAGAAGCAGTCACTTGATGTGGAAAAAAAATTGATGAATCTGAATCCTATCGTGCTTGCATTTCACAAAGGATTTCCTCTCTCCCAGGTTAGTCAATTTTCAGGAATTCAATCCATAATCGAGCATGTATCGAACTTTAGCAAGGTGCATATTATTGATCTCAAGATCTGGACTGGGATGCATTTCACAATTTTAATGCAAGCTCTTGCAGCTCGATGCGAGTGTCCTATCAATCATCTTAAGATAACTGCGGTCGGGACAAAATCTAAGCCATTGATTGAGGAGACAGGAAGACAATTAAAAAGCTTTGCAGAGTCCTTGAATTTGAACTTCTCTTTTAATATAATCATGGTAGAAGATATCCTAGATCTCACTGAAAGTCTCTTTGATCTTGATGCTGATGAAGCAGTTGCAGTCTATGCAGCATATGTTTTGAAGTATATGATTGCACAAGAAGATAGACTGGAATCTTTGATGAAAGTGATTAAAAATATCAATCCCTGTGTGATGATTGTCATTGAATCTGAGGCAAATGATAATTCTCCATATTTCGTGAATCGTTTTGTGGAAGCTCTTTTTTTTTATGGTGCATTCTTTGATATCCTGGAAGAGTGTATGAATCATGATGAATCAAACAGAACCATTTCTGAATCAAAAATCTTTAGTCCCGCTATAAGGAACATTGTGGCGGCTGAGGGAGAGGAAAGAAGGTTCCGGCATGTGAGTATAGACATTTGGAGGTCATGTTTTGAATGGTTCGGGATGGTGGAGATAGAGCTGAGCATGTCATCTATTTATCAAGGGAGTCTTCTCCTTAATAATTTTTCTTGTGGAGGTTCTTGCTCGATCGATAAGGATGGGAAATGTCTAATTTTCGGCTGGAAGGGAACGCGACTTAATTCAGTATCTGCGTGGAAATTTGGATGACTTCAAATTCAAACTTATTTTCATGCTTTGTGCTATTCATGCATTTTGTCTATATTATGCTGACTTTATATGAGGAATTGGACAACTTGTTACTGAGTTTTCCTTGTGATGTCCTTATAAGGATGAACTTTTACCTGAAGAACAAGCCTATGTTGGTTCAGAAGACAAAATGGACCTAAATAGCACAGCTTAAGTAAAATAGTAACACTTGTACAAAAGAAGTTGGCTAAAAGGATTTTTTTCATATTAATTCTCAGTCACAGAGTGGACTCTAGATCAGAAACTCTTGCAAAATACCACATAGTGTAAGAAGGGAGGCTGTGCAATAAATGTTAAAAGGCTAAATTTAAACATAGTTGTCTGCGTTGTAACAGTTTAACCGTTTAGATGAAGATGTTTAATATGGTACAAGTGTTAGACAACATAATAATTTAGTATATTTAAGAAGGGTAGCTTGGTATTTTCCATTTATAAAGTTAGTCTTGGATTTATGACGCAATGAAAGAAAGGAATTCAAGCGAAAACTTTAACAACAAGAAATTTGGAATCCACCAAATAATAAAGAAAATGAATTCACGAATTATTAATGAAAATAATGGAAAAAAACGAACTAAGCCTTATCCATAAGGATTTACATGGAGACGTAGTTCAGAACAACTAAAAGTAATGAAAAAGAAGTTTAAACAAACTACAATTGTAAAAAAAGGAATACAAATGAATTGACAAAAATAGCGCCAAAACTTTAAAAATCAGTTTTCAAGGCCTAAACGAACTTGAACGGCAAAAATTCATCGTACTTCATAGCATATCTGTGAGTATTATTCCCCACGTCATTCTCCTTCCAAAATGGTCTTATGAGACCGATCCGAAATTAAGATGATGTTTTATTTATACTAATACCCTTTTTTCAATATACCCATTATGTCCTACATCAATTTATGTTATGTCGAAATATATAGAGGAATGAAGAAGAGACAACAAAATTAAAAATGTAATCACAAGTTGAATTAATATACAGAAATTTGAGGAAAATAAAATGGAAGGCTCGAACGCGTAATCGCTATCCTCAAACTATATTTGCCTCTTCTAGGGATTGAATGAGATTCTTAAGGATCTTTGGCAAACGATTTATAGGATTATAGCAAGCCTTGTAAAGGATCTAGCACCAAAGTATAAATGCGATCCTCCAAAATTTTAAGAACACAAAGAAGAAATTGAGTATGAATATCAATCAATTGTTTGATCTTTTATTTTGGAATGAGTATTGATCACAAAATGTTATTCACATTATTTGACTTTAGATTTATCACCTATTTATAGGCCATCACCAAGTATGCACGAAATGGTGCCAAAATAGGTTGAAAAGCCATCACTCTTGAAGTTATAACGGTAGAAAAACGGCTCCCAACGGTAACAGGAAATCACAATGCGACCGCATGGAGTAATTGACGGGCCCCTTTAAATCTCGGTAGATGGCCATGCGGTCGCATGGTACAAAGTTTGGGCCTCCGTTTTTTCTTTATATTTCCACCGTTTGGTTTCTACGTTGGTTTTTCTTTGGCTTTCTTCATGTTGTTTCATTCCATTTTCATTCCTTAATTGAATTTCGAACAATAATAAAACAATCCCCCACTTATTCAAAAATTTCAATAAAGGAATCTCATACTCAAATCATATGATACTCATATATAAGGACTAGATATCTTTCGATTTGAATCTAGCCATAGTGTAATACAAACAAAGTAAAGTCGGAATCAAAGGTAGCTGTAACTTTGAACCAGTTATTCCATGTGACAATACCGGTCCGAACACACACATGAGTACCACGTGTTCTTAAGTTCCTCATATCTCGCTTAGCGCTGTTATGGCCTTGCGCTCATCCTATTCAACAAACTTTTAAGAGAGAAACTCCAACTCTCACTTGAGGCAGCACCACATCGAAATTTGTTTAGATGAAGTTCTTCCAGTACCTTTGTTACTTTTAGAGATACTTGTGTTTTAGCACTGAACTTCATCAAGAGCTTTAATGTTCAACCCTTACTTCAGTAACAACCAGTATTATTTTACTTAGGATAGGGTCATTGCGGATTTTAATAATGTTGTGACCATCCCACATATCTAATGACTTGTTTTAACCCTTTGAACCCGCGGATTATCTTTTAAGTAATGATAGGTAGGGTTGCCGCTATTGGTGGACATTTATTTGAAAGGAGTTTCAACCCCATTCTACTCGAAATAAATGCCACTAAATTTCTATTTAGTGGTTTAGTTAAAGGATCCGCTAAGTTCTCAATGTACTTTACATAATTTAGGAAAATTATTCCATCTTTGATTAATTTCCTTATGTAGTCATGTCTTAGAATCATATGTCTAGACTTTTCATTGTATACCTCATTGTTTGCTTTCGCTAACGTGGCTTGACTATCACACACGATAGGTATTGAAGACATACTCTTTGATCCCAAAGGTATCTCATAGAAGAGATCCTTAAGCCACTCAACCTCTTTTCCGGTATCCGATAGTGCAACAAATTCAGATTCCATGGTCGAGTGTGTTATGCATGTTTGTTTCTTTGATTTCCAAGAAACAGCACCTCCTCCATGAATAAACACCTAATCCGAGGTTGATTTACTTTCACCCGTGCTAGATATCCAACTAGTATCGGTAAATCCTTCCAATACCGCAGGGAATTTACTATATTGTAGGCCTAAGTTCTTAGTTTTCTTTAAATATCCAAGAACTCTCCCAATGGCCTTCCAAGGATTATTGCTCGAATTGCTAGTAAACTTGCTGAGATTACTTATTGCATAGGTTATGTCCGATCTTGTGCATTGAACTGCATACATAAACTCCCTATAGCACTTGCATACTCCAATCGAGCAATCGCCTTTCCACTATTCTTTACAAGAGTCAGATTTGGATCGATTGGGGTACTATATTCCTTTTAGTTCAAGTGTTTGAATTTATTTATTTCATTCCCAATATAATGTGATTGACTCAAATAGTAACCCCCACTAGTGTTTGAGACTTTGATACACAAAATGGTATTCACATGTCCAAGATCTTTCATTTTGAATGTGGAAGATAGAAACCTCTTCGTTTCTTCTATACGGTCCGTGTGATTACTCATAATTAACATGTCATCAACATATAAGTATATAAATGTCACATAATTTCCACATTCTTTGAAATATAAACATTTATCCACAATATTACGCTTAAACCCGAATGATATAATTGCTAGGTCAAATTTCTCATGCTATTTCTTAGGTGCTTGCTTCAATCCGTACAAGGATTTCACCAACTTGCATACCTTATGTTCATTTCTGGATAGGACAAACCCTTCAGGTTTGACATCCATTTGATGAATATGCAAGTCATATATTGAAGCTAAAGTAAATAATATCCCGATCGATTTATTCTAGCAACCGGTGCATAGGTATCAAAGTAGTCAATTCTTTCTTTTTGCCGATATCATTTGGCTACTAATCTAGCCTTGAAGGTATTTAAGGATCCATCAACATTATATTTTCTTCTAAATACCCATTTACATTCTATGGGTTTGGATCCCGGTGGTAGATGACAAGCTCCCAAGTGTTATTGGATATTATCGAATTCATTTCGTCCTTAATTGCATCCTTCCAAAAGATGGTATCACGCGAAGTCATAGCTTCTTTATAAGTCTAAGAGTCAGATTCCACTTGTAGAACAAAAGGAATTGTCCTTACAATATTCAACTCATTTCTCTCTACCAGGTAGAAGGAGATAAGTTGAGAATCAATTTCATCCGATCCCAAAGACTTCTCAACCCGAGTTCTCTTGCTTCTTCGTGGTTCACTAGATTCGTCAACGTCTTTTGAAGAAGTTTCATAACGTGTTCCACTTGAGTTAGGGATATTTTCAAAATTTTCCCTCGATTCATTATCCGAAGATAATGAATCCTCAAAGAACTCCACATCTTTAGATTCGATAATCACATTGGACTCCAAATTCAGCAATCTATAAGATTTGCTATTATTTACATATCCCACAAAGGCACACATAATGCCTCTTGGGCCCAATTTGCCCCTGTTAGGATTTGTGTTCTTGCTATAAGCAAGACACCCCAACACCTTGAAATATCCAATGTTTGATTTTTTTCATTTCCATAATTCATAAGAAGAAACCTTAGTATATTTTGAAGGAATTATATTATGTATTCTACATGCACTCAACAAAGCTTCATCTCACAAATTAAATGGCAACTTAGTATGAATAAGCATGACATTTATCATTTCTACAAATGTTCTATTTTTTCTTTCAGTTAAGCCGTTTTGTTCGAGTGACCTAGGTGCAGAACATTGATGAATAATTTCATGTTGTTCACAAAACAAATTAAATACATTGGAGAAATATTCACCACCTCTATCACTTCTCAAGGTTTTAATTTTCTTTCTTAGATAATTTTCAACCTCGTTTTTATATACTTTAAACATATCAAAAGCTTCACTTTTATATTTTATCAAGTAAACATACATATATCTAGAAAAGTCATCAATGAAGGTATTAAAGTGCATATTTCCACCTCTAGTTAACATGCCATTCATTTCACATATATCGGTGTGAATAAATTCTAAAATATTAGAAGTCCTTTTTACACTATGGTAAGGCTTTTTGATAATTTTAGATTCAACACAAATCTTGCATTTATTTTCATTATTTCCATCATATGAGATCAATTCACAATTTTTCATGCATTTCATGACACTAATTCCAACATGACCTAATCTAGCATGTCATAATGAAAATGAATCCACAACATAAACGAAATCAGTTTTATTTATTTCATTGTCAATAGTACATAACTTGACCATTCCTTTACAAGAATAACCCTTTCCAACAAATTTCCCGTTGAGGGATAATACAAGTTTACTGGACTCAAAAACACTTTTAATACCCGATTTTTCCAAGAGATTTTCACTCACTAGGTTCCTATTCATATCTAGAATATGTAGCAAATT